GAGTATTAAAATCATAAAGCAAAGGCAGGAAGGCATAGAAGAGCAACAAAGAAGAATAGGGGACTGAAGGCTAAAACATATTGAAGAACAGATGCAGGGATTGGGTATGTCTAGTTTAATGAAAAAAAGGACTAGGGGTGATATGATAGCAGTGTTCCAATACCTAAGGGACTGCCACGAAGAAGAGGGGGGGTCATCCTATTCTCCAAAGGCAGAACAAGAGTCAATGGATGGTAATCAAGGAGAGAACCAATCTAGAACTAAGGAGAAATTTGCTGACAGTTAGAACAAAAAAATCAGTGGAACGATTTGCCTCCAGAAGCTGTAGGATCTCCAACAATGGAGGTTTTTAAGAAAAGATTGGACAACCATTTTTCTGAAATGTATAGCTTGAGCAGGGGTTGGACTAGAAGACATCCAAGATCTCTTCCAGCTCTGCTATTCTGTTATTCTAGAGAAAAACACATTGTTTAAATATACGCATAATAGCATACAAGTTTTTATATGTGAATTCATGACTCTCCTGGTATTTTTTTTAAAAAAGATAAAACAATAAGAAGAAAGTTCTGTAAGATGCTAAAATCAAAATCCTGCAGTTCTTGGCATTTGGAAAGAACAGAGGAGGAAAATAGGAAGTACTGAAGATCCTGGCTGAAAGGAGAGCCTTAGAGTTTTAGAAATAGTAAAAGCTAAATTTTATTTGTATTATTTATTTATAAATTTTGATTGTTTTATTTCCAACAATGTGTTAGAGGTTTACTGATAGTATAAGTCTCAGGATAGCCATGCTAACTGAGATTGGTGGCTGTCTTGTAATACAGTCAAATATGGCTACGATCTAGTAAATGGATAAAATGTATATCAAAACTCTATTGCCATTTTACTCAGCTAAAAAAATATGATGTAAAGAGGGCAACCCTTATTCAAATAGATTCTCTAGTATCTATGTAGAAAAACCTTTAAATTGCTACCATTCTAAATACTAAAAGTTAATACAATAACTCATGATCCTAAAATACCAAGTTATGTTTAGTTTATCGAAGTTCACAATTTTCACTCTGAGGTGGGACATACTTAAGAAATCTTTTTAAGCACTGTTACAAAATAGAGTAAGGGCATCTGTGGAGAGGTCAAGAGAAGGCAAATGACACAAGTGTGTTATAGTATGATACAAATTCCATCCCTTTCATGCTTATCTCACATAAAGATGTAAGGGATGAAGCTTACACTATGATATCATGACACATTTTGTCATTTTGATGAATTCTCAGCTTCTAATGAGTGTTCCTGTGAATAAATACACATGATATTGCATATGTCATAATTTGCACAGTTATTTATATAGCAGTAATAAGACGATGTCCATTCAGAGTAGTTTTGTAAAATGTGAGTGCAGTAACTTTTAATCTATATGTAAGGTATATCTGACAAAGAAGTCTTTGGAATATAGAACAGAAACAGAACACTTTCAGAGGTAGATGTAAAATGTGCAAACTATAATAAAAAAAGGTAAGATTCATACTTAGTATAGTAAGGCACACAGTTGGCACCAACAGAAGTAAACATTTACTGTGGCATGATATAAGGCCTCAATGTTGCATTCATTCTATATATAAGAAATAGAGTGGTAAAGTAAATATCAGAGTACAGTACAGTACAGTATGGCTATTTACCCTTTAATAACACACTATATTCTTTATTGTTTGTTAAAATATAAAGAAAGCTAAAATACCACAGTACTAATTTTAATTATGCATTCATCTAAAGTAGAGAAACAGACTTGAGGAATATAATTTCCTATATTTGAAACATAGGCTTAAATTGGATGCATACCAGCTAAGAAGATGTAAGAACTTAGCAATGGATTTATTTATACTATGGAAATGTATAATTGATACAGTATTACATTCACGATATTAAAATGTTTCCCATCAAAAAGAGAAATTATATTGCTGTTATGCAAGTCAAGTGTCAATAAACTTTTAAAAACTTTAGAAAAATATTAATCTGCTTATCAATCATTAAATATACTAGGACCTCAGCTATTTGGAAAACAGTTTTAAGAAAAGATTGCTTTTTAAAAAAAGTACAAATATGTATATTTTTTAAATTTGTGTAAATTAAATACAACCTGAAACAAATCTCTGCTGCACCGTAAGACTATATAATATATCCAAATCTGTATAAAAAAATTGGATTATGGCACATAAATAGTTGTCAACTAGCGATGATAATCGAGCCAGGAATTACGATCACAGGTCATTGCAGCCGTAAGTCATGGCAGCGCATGACCAGACCTGATGTTTTGATATTTTTTATGCCTGTTGTTATATGCACAATCATTAAGTGAATCAATTTTCCCAATGGATATTTTTTGTTGGAAACCAGAATTAAGTGCTGGAAACTGACAGAACAATTAACTAGTGGAATAACCTGCCTCCAGAAGCTGTGAATGCTCCAGCACTGGAAATTTTTAAGAAGAGACTGGACAGCCATTTGTCTGAAATGGTATAGAGTTTTCTGCCTGAGCAGGGGTTGTACTAGATGATCTCCAAGGTCCCCTCGAACTTTATTACTATTACTAACTGATGAAGAATTATCTCTATCTTATGGAACTATTGCGATTATGTTTGTGAATTCCTTGTGTCCACCATCCTGTTTTTGCTTTCACATTTTTCTCAGTTGTTTATATTCTCTAAACCATTCCTGCCTCTGCATCCTTAGATATCACAACAAAGACTGTTTATCTGTTTGCTTTCTTGGCCACCCATCTAAGGAAGACTATACTGATGAACAGTTCGAGATAAGAATAAAAACA